TTCAGTTGAAATTCGTTGACAGCCTCATTTACCCGGGGAGAACAGTGTTAACTGGTAGTGAAATTGGAGGCAAGATGCTACCAAACATTATTGTTGTTGTTGTTCGACAACCGAGGTCGTCCATGAAGCCTAACTACGAATTGAAATCAATGGGAAGCGAGTGGTAAAGGTTGATTGTCAATCCCCACGACCCTATCCCAACTGAACACACGAACGAATCAGACTATTTTTTCTACCAGTTTAGACGTACTATATCTTCTTACACTGCCGCTTCTGTGTGGACAGTGTTTACACGCTGTCGTTTACGGGCTGAAAGAAAATGTGTTACTGACGGATTCAGAAAGAAAAATTGCTCTTAGTCACAGTTAGCGTTCTGACGTTAAATCTGCCACATTGCAATACCATGCCCAGCAGCAATATCATCATTAAGTCTACAATGAAGCACAGATGTAAGACAGACGTGGTCTAAGCATCCGTAGAACGTACACCAGTCACTTCACACAGCACAAGGAAATGATTTCACCACTATCTACCCCTAAACCTCATTCATACTCACGCGATAGTCGCACCACACGCGGACGATGGACAAACAACGGTTGGCAAAAACGGATAGTCGTTGATCACCAGTATTAGTAGTATTACCAGAACATAATTACTACTCGTATAGCTAATCGGGTGGGGGTGGCGTAATGGTTTGATCACCGATGTACTCTGAACTCAATGGTCCGAGGTTCGAGCCCCGTCATCGCAATCCAACTTTGGTGGTAAGCAGCTTTGCTGTCGTTCGGTTCAATACCACGCCTAACCTATCGGGGCCTTATATGGTTCGCCACTTCAAGTTCCGGACCCTAGGTCAACAGTTTTCATCACCGGAGGTCCTCGTGACTGGAGTTTATCCCGTCTGCTGTTCATCACACTAAAAGTGTGTAATAAAAAAGTTAAAATAATCCCCATGATCGAGACTAATTACTGACCATACGTGTTCTGGTGGAGTAAATTGAAAAACAGATGTGAGAGTCGAAATTATGAACACAACAACATACCGAGTAACACGCGCGTAACGTTCATTCAGAGGAACCGAGCCATCCAACCGCGTGGAGGTAAGCCAGGGAAATTGAGTTCTGTGGAGTTAGTGAAAACGAAAGGGAGGTTGACATGTGTTGTCTCGACAACCGAATGCAAGTGAGGACCCGATGCGTTTCTAATCGACCTCAGATCAACTATATGTTCGTAGAACAAGAATTTACAATCGGATAAGGAATGTGAAATACACGACATATGTATTATTAAACCGGATTTCTGCACCAGAGCTTAAAAAAGTATTTTACTTCCTGTTTGACAAATTTAGCATCTGGAGAAATGTTTATGTGAGTATCTAGCAAAACAGCAAAGGTCCAGGAGATCCATCGTTTGTGCCCTGATCGTACACCACAATTCACCGTTGTTTTGATCAACATGTGGATAGCTTCCTTGATTTACGTGAATTTTTCCAAATGGTTGCTAGAGACCCTAGGATACGACATATTTCGCAGTAGCTCACCGACGAAGGGATTTTCCTTTGGGAATCCTGACTGAACCCTTTGACTCAAAAGTCTGAAGTGGGGTGTAGACCCAACCCGGTAGCGTGACCGAAACACCCATGTGGGGGTTTCTAGAGACTTGTCACGCAGGGTGCTTTTTACAAAAGTTCTCCGCTGATGTATTGATTGACGGTTCGCTGTTCAGGATAGGCTCAGTCTCAAGTACCAATGATAATACTACTGACTGGGGACTGTCCAGCTTTAATGGATCGCAGCTGTCTAATGAAGTACGACAACTTATCCCATCGTAGAGAAGAAGCCCCAGTTATCCCGTTCCTACGTCCATCAAGCGGTAAACTGTGTTTATCTTCAGAGGCGAATGTGGATAGACATAAGAAGCTAGCCGCTGCCCAATCCATTGACCTTGTGAAACTGACCTTTGTCTGAACTCTGCCCAGTCACCTTTCAGGCATAATTGGATCTGCAGCTGTGAAAAGACCCCGTATAGCTCACAGGGTCATATGGGCACGCAAGACATCAGACCACGTCAAGGTGCAGTTTTCTCGTGAACCACCGGTAAAGACGCTGACTGATATACCAGTGTTGTGAACAGTAGCTCCTCTTAATCTCTCTGCATTTTTATTCCATCGGAATTCATGTTCAATTCAACACCGTTCTCAACATTCCAATCTTTCCTTCAGTTTTTTTATCCGAATGTGCAGCCAATCAGACAGCAACCAAAAACATTGCACGAAAATGCATGTTTATTGATTGCGAAAAGTAAAATGAGTGCAGTTTATTTCGAGTTATTACTATTTTTCCAAATGAAAATAAATATTTTTATAGTATTCAAAGTAACTAAAATGTAGAAATTACCTTCCGCACGCTTGAGGTATTTTGCGGTGAGCTCATCAATAAATCCTATCCCAAGAAGTAGTTGTACATCTTATGAGATGGTTCTTTCTAGGTTTGTCAAACTGCCTTCCTTGCTACACT